ATATTAGACTACCGAACATCAGTGAATCACTTGACGATTCACATGTTAAGGATCCCACATTAAAAAGATAAAAACCTAACACGGGGTTATAATAGACATGTTTACTTCTCCTATTGTCAATTGGTTTTGAGATGGAACCCCATGAATATTGATATGGTATTAGAGCCCGAAAGCTCAAACGAGTATCCGATCCAAAAATGGGATCCAACCCAAGAATTGTGAAACCAAAAGAGGCACCATCTTGAGGGGGCATGTTAAGGATCTCACATTAAAAGGATAAAGACTTAACAAGGGGTTATAATAGATATGAGCTACTCCTCTCATTGTCAGTTGGTTTTGAGATGGAACCCCCATAAATTTAATACCATCTCCTAGATTCATCGGCTTAATATCTTCAGATGTTTAGGTGAAGGGTTCAGCTTCCTCTCTACCCTTTCATCCAAAGATTCCTGAGTGAGATTTACGTTGCATCGGCTTAACTCTCGCCCAATGGTTGGTCGACCGTGCTAAGCCTGTATTATATTTGGTGGTCGTTCAGGGACGAAGAGGGAAGTAGACTTACCGTAGAAAAGCTCCTGGCAACCCACATAGTTAAGCCTTATATTGGCAGTGAGGGTCGGTATTATGTGTCGGCCCATAAGAAGATAGGTCAACTGGTATTTAACCCTTATTCAGACAAAAACTGGAAAGAGTGTTGGTTCCACATATCGGAGGATTGGCTTGTCCAAGGCGAAGGAGAAGAGTCAATCTATCATGTGCCCGTAGAGTTTGGGGATGTAGGTGGTGGCCCTCACTTAGCTCGGTAGTCGTTAAATGCAGCACATCGTCCTTCTCACACTGACCTCTCTATATGCTGCAGTTCTGCTCGCTCCTGCTCCGAGGATTAGCCAGCAATCACTGGACATAATTGTTGAGGCTCGGGTCATCCCTAACGCTCAGGGAGGCGAGTTTTTAATATGCAATAGTCACCTGTTTATGTACGGCCTAAGCCCTTACTTAAGGGATCGAATCCCAAGCAAAAGCGGTTGATCGCTTGTGATTCGATTCGATTTTAGAAACGGAACAATATCTGTCGCAACGTCATCGCGACGCGGAGCGGTCGACGTCATCCCCTGAAAGGTCTCTTTCGAGATAAGGGTTTGGAGTCACCACCAATCATCTATGAGGTGTGATTGGTCACCTAAAAATAAAGACAAGGTTTGCGGAAACAGATTGTTGGTTCGGGAGTCAACTGAGCGTAGGGGAGGTGTTAGCACCCACGACACCCGTTCGAAAACGGTACCACATTTTGTCAAAAATTATCCTATTATTTTATTTGGTCCAAAAAATGTTTTTATTTTATTTTAAACGTCCTCATATTATATTAATTCACATTTTGTAATAAAATATGAATGTATAGGTATGAGTGGCACAAAGGCCATTAGAAAAATTTTGACACCTCGAGAATACTGGAAGGTTCCAATTCCCGTCATTGGAGTTTTTGAAATAATTATTTAGCGAAAAAAAATAATTTTAATTTTAGAGACTTAAACTTGTGACATGAGTACTGATACTCAAACATCTCACCAATGTGCCACCACTTTGAGATATAAGTTAATGAGACATGCAAAGACTTTAACTTGGGTCATGCACATTAAAAAAACCAAACCTCTTACCACTATTCCAACTTCCTAAGATGTAAACATTGTATTCTTTTACAAAAACAAAAACTTTAATTTACTTTTTTAAACTAAAAAAAAAAATCTACGAATTTTATTAAAT